TCATCTATCGACATTTCTAAACAGTTTTTTGGTTTATAATCGCGTTTTTTATATTAACCACTGTCTGTAAACTCCTGATTTAATGCTGAACCACTTTTAAAAAGTTTTTTATGGACGTATAAGTCATCCAAAAGGCTTATTCTAACATCCTGAAAGATTTTTCTATACTTTTCTAATAAAACGAAAGTGTTTTCACAAATGTAAAAACCAATAAAATAACTTGTACCGATAGGTTAGAGGAATTATACTTCAGACACTAACTATTTTCTCTCTTTCTGTCGGATAAATATCATAAAATTTTGATAGCACATCAAAAGAGATCACGTTTCAGGTTGAAGCGCATAAAAAAAACGACTTAAAGGTTACTGCAACACAGAAGTTTAATCACTCCGTCTGATTTAACTAATTATATCACATATCAATCATTTTACTATAATATTACAGTTAAGGATTAATATCGAGTATTTTAAGTCCCCGATGTAAATATTTTTTTAATTAATTTTTGTTTTTTATTAGGAGCAATTGAATAAAATAATAAAAAAACAAATCTGTAAGAGATTAACTTACCGATGAATGTATTGTAATTGTTCAGAGATAGTCTCACTACGGATTACTATTATAAAAATATCGTGTTTACTTTGGGATGTGCCTTGTACATTATGTATAAAATATGATACTTCGTGTTGAGCTGTTGTAATGGAAAAAGTATGTATTAATTTGGATAATGAATAAAATATGTATTTCCTAATTTTTTTTTGCATTAAATCAGACATGAACACCTTAACAAAGTTTGAAATATATTTATTTTTTGAATAAATTTATGAGTTAATTATAAATTTCGCAAATACTTAATACTAAACTAAAAATAAATTTAATTATACTCACGTAATTTTTTTTTGAGTTTTTTTTTGTGAGTTTCACCTCTTAATCGTGCATAAAATAACATTTAGCAATTTACGAGATATTCGTAACTGAAATCTCTTCATCTATTAAGGCAAACTACAATAATACGAGTATCTACAAACATTAAAAGTGAATTAAAATCAGTTAAGGCAACTATTCACATGTGGGAATTAGATTGAGTAGAAAAGATTTTTGTGAACAGAAGAAAAATCGTGGTAATTTAAGCGAGCGACCAAAAAGAAATACGCTTTATTTCACATTAAGTATCTCAGTTAAATCTGCCGTGTTCACATAAATTTCAGCTACTGAGACACACTTTCAGATACACTTTCAGACACAATGAAGGCACCTAAAGTTCAACGCACGTCTAAAAAGGTTGTTGCGCTTCCTGAGCAATTTTATGCAACCAAACTTTACGTACAAAGCACCAAACACCCAACCAAGGAAGAGAAATAAATCGGTCTCAAGTTTTTATTGTTAATAGAAATTTTTAATTAACTTTGGTAACTCGCAGGTGAGTATGTAAAATTGCATTGCTCTAATGCATAATTTTAACAAAAATTAAATAATTTTAATAATAGTTTTAAATATTTTTTGAACAAATATCGTTTTCGTAATATTGTTAGAGTCCTACCTCAACCATTTCTAATGGTTTCTAAATTACAACTTCATAGTGCTTGAAAGATGTTCTTTATGAAGAAAAGCTGCAACTGTAATGAATGGCACTTCAAAGAAATGACTGCATTCAATATGGATTGAGTCATTCAAGACGGGAAATAAGTTGTCACAGAATCCATTTCGCTTTTGATTTATGGATGTGGGCGTAATTTCCAATCAAAGACCAATCTGTATGTACTTTTTCAATTGTGACAGAATATTTTTAAACTCAATAGTTATTAAGCTAATGAAACATAGTCTTCATGTATTTTGCTATATAGGTACTAATAAACTTGGGTAAATTATTTTATTTATTTGAAACGCAAATACAAATCTTACTCATTTACTCATAAAATAAAATCTAAATAAATAAAAACTTAATACGCACTTCTGTACCGCCTACAATGCTTTTATGAATGTTTGGGTCCTAAGCATTTTCGGACAAATTGACGACGTCTGACAAGCTCGAAGTGTTTTGATATATGAAATTACAACAAAAAAAGGAGAATCTTATAAAAGCGGTAAATGTTTTCACAGCTCTAATGCATTTATTTGTACTGACAGTAAACACGAAAACGCTTATTCATCCGCCACTCAATGGAGTCACCTATTTACATAATTTGCAATTGGAGACCTTTGAATCGATTTGAATGATCGCTTTTGTCTGGCAATAAATTGCAACTGTCTGCGCAGTGAATACGAAATAAAATGAATATGAATACGAAAGAACTAGAAAACTACGATGAAGGCAGTTGAATTCTAATAAAACTTAGTAGTTCTAATACTGCAATAATCTACTCGTATGTATCCACTTCGAATAAATTCACAGCAGTCAGTCATATAATTGAATTAAGTATCATTCTTTAAGCAAGCTAGGTGCTTCTAATAAAATTTAACATTAGCTCAACATATTCTATTTAATACGTATAAATATATTCAATTGTAATAATATAATTTTAACAAAAAGGAGTAATCAATTTTTATAAGATTATAATCTTAAGGTACATCTTAAGGTATTAATGGCCGATATTTCATACTAGTAAGTCAGGTTAGACTCGAGAGGTCGGTTTAGTTTTCAGCAAATTCGACGTATGGGGAATGATTAAATATTGTGGCATGTTAAAAATACATGAATATGAAGATAGTATGAGGTACATGATCCGAAAAAAAAAATTTAAATATAGAAGGGTTAAAATAAAAATGGAGAGACAACAACAAAAATTTTAGTGATTTTATGGAAATTTAGCTGACTATACAACGATGCTTCAAGCATTGCCAAGTAAACAGCATTGTATGGCCAGCCAAATTTCAATTAATTAACTAAAATTTTTGTTGTTGTCTTTTTATTTGTATTCGAACTATTTTAAGTTTTAAATAGTTTCTTTTAGTCATAAGCCGCGTCACTTTCAAAAAGAAAAAATTAACATTAGAATCTTTATTCATATGGCTAATCCATCTTCAGATGGCTAATCATTCTTAGCCATCTGAAAAGAATAAGCAGTTGAGCAGTTAAAGCTATTTACCTGCTTATACATATTACAAGATTAGAAAACTTAACATTTTTAATTTTATTCCGATTTTAAAACAATCTTAATCATCCAAATTTTGATTACTAACATGCATTGCTAATAATTTGCATAGAGATAATAATATGAGCAATGTTATAAAAAGCCATCTTATAAAATTTTAATGTATTGAAACCAACTTTTAGCAAAAAGTTTTGGCTTTGGATCGTAAAGATCAGGATGCTGACAACGTAAGTCCTATAATTAATTGCACAAATAGAAGTTAATTCGCTTAACTATTTGAAAACTACATTTATCTAACCCGAAGCGTGGAGGCAATAATAAAGGATAAAGATTAGACTGGCAAAGGATTGCTAGGTATATACTCTATCATATAACCTGTTATATTCTGGCAGTTATAAGAAACAGATTTCACCAACCAATTTAAAGAGAAGGAGAAAGATGTGGGGGTAGCTTGTGCTTTTTACTAAGCACATATTAACAAGAATGATAACAGATGATTAAAACTCAGATGTAGGGTTATATAGGCGATTAGTATTTCACGCAGACCTATGCAATTACCCGGAGCTTAAAGGACAATACGCGTGAAGGAAGTGTATAAGCTGCAATACCAAAACTTGCACTTAAAAAAATATAGTTTAAGATTTTGGAAGATTATTGATAGACCCAGAGTTTAAAAGAGTTAGTATAAGATTTTACCATTTTTTGGGTACAGTGAAAAATATTTTATTTCAAGTTTTTGGTGTCAAAAACTATTTTGTGCAAAATAGCTATCGCATTCGATAAAAATACTACAAAAATATTTTTGAATTCTACATTTGCAGAGAAGGGTCTGAAGGACTTAAAAAGGTTACAAAAATTTTTGAATCGTTTAATGACAATTGATTATATTAGGATCTACTACCTTAATTCTGAATAAAAACGAATGGCTAGCAGGTAAAGCTGGTAAAACAAAAAACTCATATTGTTATGGAAAGATTCGTAAACAAGAAAATGTTTCTTTAAAAAGAAAATAATTTTCAAGATCAAGTTAATTTGATCGATTTGATTTTATTTAGTTATGATCAAATATTGTATTGTCAATTAATCACTGAAAACATTAGATGTGTAGGTATTTGTGAATAAAATGGATCTTAATGGTTTTGAGATCTTTGATTCTTTCTACATATAATTCTTGAAATATGATATTAGTCTGTTAAAGTCTTATATACTGGCTTGGGAAGCGCTGGAAAAAAATACTAGCATCTTCCAAGCAAAAAATTTACGCAAGTTTAAAGTGCGTACTCATCAATATTGAACGGAATTACCAGGGTAAAAATATCGCAATACTGACAGGCAACCAAGCGGCGATTAAAGCACTAAACTCGCATCAGGTGATCTCAAGACTGGTGCAATACTGCCTTGATAAGCTAAATCTGCTTGACGAATCAAATTAGGTGTCGATTCTTTTGGTACCGAGACATACTGGTGTTCGCGAAAACAAATACACAGATAAACTAGGAGCAGACACACCGATGTTGGAGCCGGAACCTTTACGTAGACTAGGACATAGTACGCTCCTTTCTCTCATAAAAATAAAGGAGAACCAGAATTAAAAGGATTACTGGGATAATATACCAAGATTAAAACAATCTGAATCACTTATTGGTGCCTATAACAATAACAGATACCAGGATTGTATGAATTTATCAAAAGAAAAATTTGGAATCATCCCAGGAGTCCTAACAGGGCACTGAAAACTAAAATACCACCTTACGAGACTGAGTATATATACGGATGCAAATTGTTGATTCTGTGAAGAGAATGAGGAGTCACCCACACATGTGCTGTTAAAATGCCCTGCGATAATGTACATACGGAATTGGCTCCTGGGAATGTATATTTTTATGGAAGAGACAATAAAACTCTGTAAAGTAGGTTCTATACTACTTTTATTGACGCAACAGGGCTTAGAGATCTTCTCTAAACCCAGAAGAAGGTACAATAGATCCGATGGTAGCATTGTCACATCCCGTAATTATAATAATAATACATAGTGGCTTTAGATGTTATTCAGCCATTGAAAAATAAAATTTTCTGATAAGTAGGAGTGATTATTGACTACCATTAATTGAAAACCTATAATGAACGAACCCATCAGGAAACCGCATAATATCTGTAGCACACCTAATAAAATTTCTTGGTACTTTTTGAATTATTTTGATCATGTCACAAGATCTGGTAAACTTGTATTATATTGTCAACCTGCTCACGAAAGTAATACATATATTCCAATTGATAGCGACTTAAAATAGTCATTAACTTTTTGCTACACGCTGAGCAGGAACACAGTAGATTTTATGATGGATTTTTCTTCCTTCTCGTTACTACGACAGCTGCAATAGGTATTAGATATATTCATTCATTTTTGAGGATTGTGATTTTATAAGACAGTGTCCAGCTATGACACCTGTTTGGATGGAATGTTCAACCTTTTCACACTGAAAGAAGCCTCCATTAGAAACTATTAGGCTAATAGCATATTGATGAACTCTTCATTTCATATATATTAAAGTTTAAACTTTTTCTAAAATTTTATTTTATTGAAATTAATTTTTGTTATATATCCATGTTCAACTTTATACTTACATAGACATTTTTAAATGGTAAATGGTTATGGTAAGTTTTAATGCCTCAGTGTTTCGCAAATGTTTAAATTGTGCAAATATTTATTTCGCTTTTTATTTACGTTGGCGACTGCTTGTCTGCAGAAATCCACTTATGAACATGAAACTTTGTGTATAGAGCGATTTACAATACGAAACGTGTACGTCTTCGAACCTCTGTTTGCCTTGAATCAACCGCAGAACTGCAATTCATCTACCATAAAAAGAAAAAATATCTGAAAATGAATGAATCTGAAAACGTGCAAATAAAAAATGTGCTCATTATATGAAATAGGAATATGGGCACAGATATTTGTCAGTATGTAAATACCCGTAGCTTCACATATAGCAGAACATATGTGCACTTAAAGGTAGATTTATAACAATATATATACATACATATTATTATGTTAAATAAAATTTTAACTAAGAAAAATGAATTTGCAGTAATTTTTTAATATAATTTTGGATAACTTTTTTAAGCATACGATTTTGTTGAATCTTAGCATTTTTCACCTACAAAAGGTTCACTTACTTGTACGCCTTCCCTTTACTTTTAAATAAATATTTACTTTTCCTACGCATTTTACGTGCATGTAACTTTTAACCCATAAAGCATGCTTTTTTCGTATTACCCGCCATTATCCTGGGAATCATGGTAATGCAATGAATTCACTCCGAGATGAATGCAGTGCAGACAGGCAGACAGACACAATAAAATAAAAATGCAAGTCAAGTTCATCGACTTTGTGTAGGTTTCAGTCAGATTATTTTTGTTTTGGTAAAAAGTGAAATTTATTACTTTTATTTTTTTTTTTCTACCAAATTATAAGAATTTTTAAACAAGTTATTATTTTATGCAATTTATGTCACGCAATTATTAAGTACTCACGTAACTTAAACTAGTAAACGTGAATCATGTGAGAAAATCAGCTGGCACATAGGTACTAAGGCTGGGATGAAGTTGCTAAATGTCTTTTGTTAAGGAAAAATTTAATCAAAATACTGGATACCACATACTGGATTGTTCAATAAGTTCGCGAAATGGAAATAAAAAACCAAGGTTTTGGTGCAAAAGTCACGTTTTTTTTAATATAATCCACCTCAATCTCAACACAGTTATTCCAACCATAGTCTGATGTATGAATCCTATCTGTGTGAAGGGCTTTCGAATGCTTTGTAAATATCTTTCTACAACAATGCATGGTAATTCAATTAAAATCGAATAGTATATGAAAGTTTTTTCTGCGGAAGTTCTATCTCTGTGAAAGTTTTCTGAAAAGTTTGTAAATATCTTTTCACGGTAGCGCTTACTTCTTCATTTAAAATCGTTTAATAAGTAAACATCTTTCAAAAGCTGAAGGTTAGAACAAATGGATTATGTTGTTGAAAAATTAATACTTTTGCAAATCGGCAGTTCATTCACGAATTTTGACCAATTGTTATAAAAGATCGTATATACAATCTATATTTGTTGTCTATGTACTTACAGAACTTTAAAAATCATGACACTAATACCTATTTAGCCTTTTATATGTTAAGTCTTTTCCGAGTTATTGCATCTGGGCACTTTTACTCTATGATAGCTGGGAGATTCTGCAGAGTCCCGCCCATCTCACTGACTAATTTGAGTGATTTGAATGATTGATCTAAGATCTGCGTACCGCCCCATGCGGTTATTGATTACTCTTAGATTTTCTAAACACAAATTTACTTCAGAGCTAGGTTCACATCACTACTTATCGTAGGGCTTTGATGCGGTATTATAATGGTAGACCGAAGTATTAAACATACTTGCTTATTTGCTTTGCTAGCCATTACAAAATTATTGCATGAGTAGTCATGAGCTTTACCAGCCAGACTGATGAGTGGCTTGCTATCACCAGTTGGTAGTACCAAGCGCAATATGAGGATGTTGTTAGTCATGTGGGCGACCCTCTAACGCATTTTTCACCTGCAAGTACCGAATCAAATATCTTTCTAGCCAGACCATTTCCGTTGAAGTTTCATATGCTTAACTATATGTCGATATCGCGATGTAGCTCATACTGATACTATAAAGTATCATTCCTACTATTAAATAAATAAAATGCATAATACTCTTCATTCTATTTAAAACACCTACACTTAACTAACAAAATCGCATCTTTCACTGACTATTCTTAAATATTAGTCAAATGGACATAACAGATTAAAAAAATATGTAAATATCTACTATTACAGTAGTAGCATAAAACATAATTATATGTTTGGTCAATTGTTATTTTACTTATCATATATACTTTTCCTAACTAAATTATCATTCGGCTAACCTTCGATGGTTAAATATACATTTCTACTTCCACTCAATTTTTGTTTGATTACGCATTTGGTTCTTCCTGTAAGCAGTGAGTTTTGTTATCTAAAAGTAATATATATGGAAAAATATTTGTTTATTGAATAAAACTTCAAATGTTTTGAACAGCAGTTCAAACATCAATGAAAATCTAAAAAACTGATAAAAGGACAAACTGTTTGGAGGCCTACATTGGAATTACGGGTTTCACATCTGCTGTCCAATTAATTTATATATAAATTTATATATAATTTTGACATTGATACAAATATCACAAAATAATAAGTTGTCAATAAAAGTGTTGAGAATAAACATTTATTACATTACTTATATTTCCTCAAGAATGTATTTGTGTTTAAAAGTACTTTCACGATTTCCTACTAGATATAAATATTAAGAAGTTGATAACAGGTACCGGATGCAAGTCCTACCATGTGAGATGAGAGTAATTTAGGCCTACAAAAGTTGAAAATATATCAATAGACAACAAAGAAGCAGTTTTTCGACTACGCCATTCGCTTAGTACATAGTATTGGAAATATACAATACGTTTAAGAAGTTGATGACAGATACTCGATGTAGCTCTTATTATGTGAAACGAAAAGTCAATTAAGTCTTCAGAAGTCGAGAAAATATCAATAGATAACAAAAAACAATTCTTTGATTAAACCTTTCACTTAGTATATAGTATTAAAAAGATTCAATACGTTTACATCATAGTTACCTTAACGAAACTATTTTGTAATGCATGTAAATTCTTCATGTGAACCAGAAGAATCGATACCCATATCCCAGTTTTTGGACTGAGACATTGTCTTGATTTCCCTATATAGGAAATATATGAAATTTAAATGGGAGTATTGCATATACTCCTATGAACTATGCCTCAAAATAGTCATGATTAGTGACATCAAGGTCTACTATATCTACATTATAAGGTGAATTATCTATATTCTAATAAAATGTTTTATAATAATATGAATACAAAAGCACTAAGAATAGTTGCTTAAACAACGAATATTGACAATTTTTTCATTTCGTGAATAATATATTGACTTCAATTTTTTACAGACATTTAATAAGTAGTACTCTCTATTTTTTAAAAAGTACTCAGAAACCTAATAAAAACACGGAACCATTGAATTCCACTGCTTTTATTTGGAAGAAAATGTAAGTCAAGGCTCCGGACTTGAAGTTCAGGTCCTGAACTGTGTCTTATATATCGGTTTATATCGGTTTTACACCATACAGTTCAGTAGCTGCTCAGAAAGATTTGAGAAGCTAGTCCTTTGTTTCGGATTTTAATGAACCTGTCTGTACATTAAAGTACAGGTTTAATGATAAGGTTTAGAAAATAATATAATTGTCACATAAATTGATAATTTATTTAATTTCTGAAAAAGCTTATGTATTTACGGATATATTCTCAAAATTTGAATAGTAAACCACTAAATTTGTTGGAAGGTCATTACCAATAACTAGAGTAGTCGATGGATGTGTACTGCCAAACAAACTTTCATGTGAGGTGGTTATGCTTAAGTTATATCGGTGATCGTAAGGTATCCAATTAGGCCTACAGACCCATTGCGTTACCGTATAATTAGAAACTCAAACTCTCATGTTACCCATATCTGTGTTTTTAAAGTTATCAGTTATCAGGAAATAAAAGGAATCAATAAATAAGAAATATATCTCATTTTATAAATCATTTGAAATTAAATACTGCGCTTGTGTTTAATAGACATTTTATTTACTAATTAAACATTATAACGCAATATTAAAATATACGAAAATTTTTATAAGCAACAAGTTATGTTACCGCTTAAGCACAAATTCGGAAAATAGGAGTGATATCACACTCCTAAAACGACAATTCAGGGTTTAAAGTTACACTTGGTTCTTCTCTCCCTCAGTTTCATCTAATTATATCAGGGAAAAGTCAACGAATCTCTGAACTGTTACTTTTAGTCTTCTCCTTTCAGCATTCACTACTTAGATTTCAAATCTACACTTAGAATACATATTAATTATTTAATCTAAAAACATTTGAAGTAATATACACCTAATAGTTTTAAAATTATCCTCTAAGATAATACGCTTTTAGTACGATTGAGTCCCACAGAGATAGTAAATAATTTTTTTGCCAGTAAAACTCTACAAAAGTCTAACAAAAAAAGAAAGTACGTCGTCTAGGTGTATTATTAAATAAAATAATAAAATGATTTTAATACAAGAGCTCATCAAGGAGTCTGGTAATTGTATTACCTGTAAAATCCTAAGTAAATGATAATTAATCACATAAGTGTAAATTTTCACCAAACCAAATACGTACGAATTAGAGAGAGATAGATACCAATCAAGATTAATATCTCAATAAAGTCATATCAGGTAAATAAAATAAATTTTTCTTCAACGAAAAGAACACTTATTGAAAATCTTGGAAATCTTGGATTATCAAAAATAAAAAATTTTAGAATATTAGTAAAAATATTTTAAAATATTTAAAATACGTCATATGGACTGTAGGAACAATATTAGGAAGACTCACACATACGACATGTTCAGATTATTTCAAATCCAATTGAACTAAAAAGAGAAGTCGAAAAAATAGTTTAATAATGGATTCGAATATGTCTTGAGAAGTTCAAAAACTTACCATGACGCAATTCTCCAAGCATGAAAATTCTAATCTCTTTGCAAGCACTTTATTTTATATATAATACAAACCACATATTTTAAGTTTTAAATTAAGGAATAGTTGTGTGCGTTATTTTTAATTAGTCTTATAGTATACATTATACCATCAACTTTTTAAGTATTTTAATATAAGAAAGTTCTTTTTCAGAAACTTTCTCTTAGTCCCTGTATTCTTCTTCTATTTTTACATTTTTGAATATCTTAAATTTATAATTTTGAGTAACTTATTCTAAACAAAATTTATTTTAACTGAAATAAATTAAATTTAAAATAAAGTAAAGAATTTCACTTTTTTTTAATAACTAACTAGATTGAAAATTTTTAAAACTTTGGATACTATGGGGATTTGCCTTTGTGCTACTATAATAAGTATATAAACATTCTTTTCCAGATCTTAAAATATTAGTTGCCCCATACTTACTGTTTTACGACTTAAGAAAATGTTAAAAAAGTATGTCTCACGGACAGATTTACTTTTGGTTTGGCAGATTCTGTGATAGTCACCAAATCTTTGAATGTGATGATTAATCAAGCTTCATACTCCTCCCGTGGACGACCAAAAGTACTGAAGAGTTCAGAATTATGGAAATATATTACAAATGTCCAGAATGAATCTATCATGCATGTATGTTATTGTATACGTAATGTTTCCAATGCCAACCGAACACAATACTTCATAATCATCAGAAGAGTAAGACAGATGCTGTATTAAGAGCGACAGAGCTTTAATAAGTTTTCTAGATTTAAAGTGAATTACTCACAGTACGTTCATTCCAGCAGAATCACTCCGGAAACACATAATATTAGTAATTACTATATGAATTATTAAATCTGGTTGCTATTACTTTGAATAGAAAAGTATTTTCTTGTAAAGGTTAACTCTACTGATTAGTCCAAAGTAATTGATAGGAGAACGGTTGTAATTGTTATCAGTTGGTAATTTCGATCCATAGATTAAAAATTGCAGAAACATACGATGAATTATATTAAATGTTATTATTTTAATATTATAGTGTTTACACTTACACTTTATTCATTGTTGAACCTCAATAGCATATTTTTGTGTGGATTTTGTATGAAAAATGATAGTCTGAATGTAGGATTAAGAAGAGATAGTATAATCATTTTAATGAAGAATAATATTTGCATATAAATGATTAAAAAAATTTTCAAAAATCAGATGTAAAAATTAAGATGGTTTAACTCTAACACTAAAAAAAGAGCAAATATTTGTCCTTGCTCAGCTGCAATTTGACATATCAGCAGGTTACATAAAAGCAAACTAAACAAATAAAATTGCAAATAGCGATGAAGGACTTATCGCTTTTTATAAAAGGATAAGTAAACAGAAAGCAAAGGCAGTTTACATTCAAATGTTCACTTTGTATGCTTAACTTCGATTTAATTGTAGCAGCACGTGTAAATCAGAAGAGCGTATGACGCAGTGGGACGATGTGTCAAAATATCGTTACATCGAGAAAAAAAAAGAAGTTGTTATTGATATATTATAAATATAATATATATATATGCAATCAGTGATTGCATGCCTTCCATTAAAATATTTATATTTCATTAAACCTTGAGTAATACTTTCAAATATAATAATATATTCTTCAAAAAAACTAGGGTCATAAAACCATACACATTCTTCATCTTGAAATAATTCGATGTAGTTCCTGTCAATTCGCCTGATTGCCTGGGATTTACTTACTAACTGAAATGAGTGTTGCTCAATTATACTCCATAGTTATCACATTAAGTTTATTAAATTAGTGTCAAAAAAAAAAAGGATTGGATCTACTCTCCAGTGTCTAGTTACTATTAAATGTATAGTGAAAGCTCATTACTCTGACAAATGTACTGTCATATCTTCTATGAAAGCCAAGAAAATTAGTATTCTTTCATCTTCATAATTCAACACATTTCCATTAGTTATTTAGAGTGTAAATAATTGACTGTAGAATAATAATTTAAGGAGCTTACACTTATTTAACTGCATTTAATTTAAGAAACTGAAACTACAAGTATTTATAATTTCTATATAGCTATAATATACATAAATAAGATATACAAATATATATTGAATAAATATTATTCTGTGACTATTGTATATTTCAAAAAATAAAGAATTTTTCATCATCTATTCATTATCTATTAAATTGCTTAATTCACAAAGTGTCTTCGACTGTATTAGAATGAGAGAAGATCCTTATTTGTGACGACAGTGGTCCAATCTCAATCATTTATATCTGCTGCATCATTAAAGATCTGTCTATTTTAACCATGGTTTTCTTTGATTTAAACATTGGTCTTGCATAAATGAAGCAAAAATGCTAAGAAAAATTTAATTCAATAAAATAAGTGTAAGCCTTTTAAACAACAGTTGATCTGCAAGGAGGTTATGAGGACTGCAGACTTTAAACCTATCAAGTGCTTGTGAAATACAATATAATTTAAATAAAGTAAATAAAGCATTTAATTTACATTTTCTCGTTTGTGTAATATATGCTTTTAATTGTTTCTGGTCTTTAATTATATATATCAAAGAATTCGGTCATAATTGAATTTGATATTAAATCACAAATAAAATAAATCGTAATAAAATTTAATTAAAATTAAACTGTCTAATTTAACAAATTATTTTTAATTCAAGATTGAAACCAGCGGTTCAATCAATAGTTCAAGTTCTGTAAATAATCATAAGTGGATTTTTCTCTATTGTGCTTTTCTCAGAATTGATTACACAAATTTCTCTCCATACACAAACAACCGAAAATTGTATTCAGTTTCATTTTGAGTGTGTTTCAATTCTCAATTCGTTTCATATTTGTTTTGTTTAATTTTACTCTTCAACAGAATTGCAATGTTTTCTGAATTTGGAATTAATGTACGCATTAAAATCGTTTTATTTACATTTTATTTGTTTTGATGAAGTTATTCGCGTTTTGTAAGCTTTTTACCGGTTGATTTTGAGTATTACCCCTACTAAAAATATTTTTCCATTTACATAATAATTATCAAAAATAATTATGTTAGAGATGTTAAAGTTGGGAGAAATATAATTTTCAGTACCAAAAGTCAATACTTTAAAGCGAATAAACGGTTTAAATTTGCGTTAATGATTAATTGTGAGCCTATAATTTATTATGTCACATTATTATTTAATTAAGATATTAAAGACTATGAAGTTAATGTATAGTGTTCCCAAAGACAATGTTATTTCACTGATACTTTCCATCACCCACGTGTATCAACTCTAGAACAGTTCAAAAAAAATCAGATTTATAATAAATGCGGTTGTGCAATAGTCAGAAAATCATAACTTTGTGCAATTAAATCAATGAATATCTATATAAACTGGTTAAATGCTTTGGACATAGAAGTAGCAGATTTTACTACAGTAATCCTTTCTGACAACGTGATTACTTCCACCACAAAACAAGGCACGATGTGTATTTTTTGGGTGCTCCGATTCGTAAATGAACTTAAGTGAAGTTAAGTGATAAGAAACTAATTTTTCTACTACACTATAATTCTACATAGTTTATTTCTCCAGTCATCAAGATTTGACCTACTTGTTGATACCAGTTGGTGTGTTTAATTTTTATAAAGGTAATCAATGAAAAAGGAAATAACGTTATACTTCAATATCTCGAGAAATTAGCTACATACATATATCGGGATATAGCGTAATGGATAAAACAATTTTACTTAAATCTGTTGTAAAATAGGTGCTCTCTAGCAATAGAAATGTTGTCAATACAGATATTTTGACACTGTCTACCTATCGGTGAATTCATAACCCATTCAATCTCGAAATCACAAGCCTTGAAATATTTTTTGGATATTGTGTTAATATTTATAGCATAAATCTCTTGAAAAATACAATCAACTGCTATCCAATCAAATGTTCTTTTCGAACTACACAGTTAGGCATCGAAATGGCGTATAAATCAGATAGTAATTTCGTTACTGAAAAGGTGCGAATTATATAAATAGGTATGTATAAATATTTTATTATAAATTATTATATAAATGCATAATAACTTACTTTAAATAGCCAATTCATTTGCAAATTCTAACTACAGACAATATAATAGCGCTAATTGCTTACTTCAAGCACTTTTCTTTAGTTTCTTATAACTATATAGCTAAGGTCTTTCAAATCTTAATAACAAATGAAAAAGCTAAGATCATTACAATATTGATAAAAATGATAAATTGTTGGGAATTATTTATATAAAACTAATTAACCAATTGTTGAGAAATAATCATTCAATCAGATGGTGCCATAGTCATAATTGCCCCGTTTCGCTAGACTCAAACATTACTTTAAGAAACTCTTAATAATTGACTGGATTATAGTGGTAATTTTTCATGTTTAAATTCCATAAAATTGAATTTCTGTTTAGTTTGTACTGAATGTGAGAAGTTATTTGGTAGTTCATAATATAACTGTGGGTCCATATCTAGTTTAACTGATTCTAAAAAAAAAATGCCTTCCGCTGGTCCGCGTTTTTTTGTTGTGGTACTTTCGAGTTTCGTTATTGATCAAACATTTTCTAACTACGGTTTGCAATCGAATTGAAGGAAGAAATGCAATCCCATATCCGTTATTCATGATCTTAAAAATTTCCATTACAAATTTTTAGGCCGCCCTAGAAATTAAGCCTCTCTAGAAGTTGGAACAATAATGCAAAGGTATCTGGAAAAGCGCACAGTTCATCTCATGATGCTTCTAATATTTTATCTAGTACAATATCTAGAAACAATAAACCAAAATTGTCAGTGAATCGTTGTAGGAGAGTTGTAGAACAGATTTAACATGTCATTAAAAATTGTTATATAGACTTTAAATCAAGTTAACATATAAATAAAGTATTTTTTCAAGAACGAAAATAAGTAAATAATTATAAATTTTGTTAAGGGTTAAAAAAGTTTTTTACTTTGCGGAAGGGATGTCATAATTAAAATAAATTCTACGATTTCAAAAACAAAAACCATTAAACAAAAATTCCAAGCACTCAATTTGAACTCATCCTTTTCAATGACAAACGCAATGAACAACGAAAAAGCATGAGATACTTTCAGTTTTTTAATAGTTTGACGTTTTCACAACAAATCTCCTCATACAACAAGTGTATAAATGAAATATTAAAATTTATGAAACGGTAATAAAGTTATGACAATCACACAGAAAAGACGTTCCATCGCTACATTTAAAATTTATGAACTTTTCGCACTTGTGAACATGTGAATCCCCGTATGTTTCGAATGTGCATGGAGGAGTGCGTGCTTAGGATGGCTCGAGTTGGCTTGACAGTTGGAAATCTAGTTTATTTGTCTGAGGCACAATGAACTAGCGGGTAATTGCTTTTGTGTTCCGTTTTAGTTTGTTAATTTGGCAGAGAATTCCACGAATGGGACTATAGAAATTTTGAATTTCTGTTGAGTCCTATAAGGCACTGAGTAGGTTCATTAAAATTATTTTGGGGTAAGGTACGCAATTAGGTTCTATCCTTTTAACAACAGCTTGGGAATATATTTGAAAATTGGTTATCATAAATCTTAATGTATTTTCCACTCAATGAAAATATAGGCACTCATGAATTTTGATTAGAAGTTGAAAAGAGGCTTTAAAGTATTTTCAATGAGTTTTCCAACTGAATTTCTTCGCATCCATCTAACCATTTTATCGCACAACTTTTTGTCACCGTTTTACTATTTAAACCAACGGAAGTTTAATTAACTTGAATGGCTTTTCTTATTGCACATTTTCATGAGCGGATGTTGCCATTTTGTATCTCGCAATGGCCTGACCGCCATTAAGAGGAGTAAAGGTCGAACTCCAACGAAGTTCGCCTGCCATTGGAAATTTTATTTTTTTTTCGTGGTGTTTTCAAATGAAAAAAGTTGATGTTCTGAGTGAAGTTTTACTTCGTCCTTTTTTTCGTATAATTGAAAAAAGTTTAAAATTTAAAAAAATGTAATTAATTTAAATTAAATGTTGAATGCCCTCAGAAGATGAATATGAGTTGATAAAAAAGAAGGCATTTTTAATTTAGCATCATTATTAGCTCTCCTAATCACTAGTGGAGCACTGGTCCCCAAAGGTTCTGCTGGAGGTTGGTTATTGCAATTACTTATCGCATTTGCATAACAAAAGGAAACTAGCTTCAATGACTTCATTTATTTGTTATGGTTTAAATGATGTTGATGTTTCAGTGTATCGAAATTACAAACTTCATGTACTATACTCTAGTGTATACATTTAGTTCGATTCGGTAGTAAGTTCTTCCTTTTTTATGAAAAACATTTCAACCAAATATGTACTCTCGCTGTCACGGCTATAATTCTCCATAAAATGTCAATTCAATCGTCGCCATATCACGTCAAAATATAATCACTTTCGGTATGAACATAAAATATATTCGAGGCGGTGCGATGTGGTAAAGAGTAAAAATTGCAGCTTCATCGTATGTTGCCGTGGTGCACAAGTATCTGCATTCGATTGGGTGACATATGCACTTCTTACAAGTAGAAGACCAAAATACATTCGGTGCGATTGATGCCGTTCGCTTTACATAAAATATCACATAAAAGAGGGTGTAAAATGATAAATATTTTTTTAATGAGGCAAATGTCAGGAGATAAAAGTCAATTCCCAACAAATTTTAATGCTTAAGCATATTTTTAAAATATTTTCTATTTCGATATTTCATTTAGTGAGATTCGATAATTAATTTTTGGTAAATGATTAATAGATAAATTTTTAGTGTGTATGTATAATATTAATTAATTAAAAGAAATTAAAGGTTTATATATTCTACTAATTATGTAAATTTCTTAATTAGAGAAATTTTTATGTATTTAATAAAAATTTTTATTATATATCTATTAAGTGAAATGATGATGTAGTCATCAATATGGAATAAATAGAGTAGTATCACAGATTCATTCCGGCAGACGCGAAAATGCCATAGCTGTAAGCTTTATATATATAATAAAATTTTTATAAATTTTTATGTAATACAACATATTTAAAATGAAGTAAAATAAAGCTAAAATACTACTAATACTACTACAGATTAATTTTTAGCTTCAGTTATTCTTGCTTCAACATACAGATCGTTTCTTATTTAAACGACATAAGTGCTGAAAATAATTTATAGGTCCAAGAAATGAACAAAATAAAAAGTCGCGTCAGATATTTAGTATTAACTTAGATTCTGGTTGTCAAAAACGATCTCTCTAAAAAAAACTGTAGTTTAAAAATCTTTATATTAAACACTTTTCACTCAGAAGTTGCCTTCTCATATATTAATCAGTAAATCAATTTTGATTTTTATTTAGATCAAGTGAAAATTCTTCAACTTGATGCCTAATATTTAGGTATTTATACTCCAAAGGGTTCAGAAATTATAGAAATTCAAAATTGATTTCTGTATTTATAATGACCAATTCCTAGAGAGTTTTAAGGGCTCGTACTGGAGTTAAGCAGATATAAGGCTTGAAAACTGCTGTTTAGATGCAGCTTCCTTTTACTAATAAGTCGTCTTATCTTAACTAATATTAATTCAATTAGATTGAAAATATCAAATAAGTTTTGAATTTGTTTTTATTCCAATCTAAAAACTATTACAATTAGAAAGTACAATAGATCTTAAGGTTGCAGAGCTTCCTCAAATAATATGAAATTTTGTTTTTTCTTATGTAAAGAGTTTTTTGACAACTATATTCCCAGATTTTTAACTATTAAACCAAAGTTTTAATGAAATAAGCAGTTGCTTTAAAGAAGTCTTTTAAAATTTTCGTTGTGTGTGTGTTTTGTTCATTGCGTTAACCATCTTCAAAATTCTTATGACCGTCAACAAGTTCACGACTTTCGCCTATTTAAAATTTTTACAGATCTTAAAATTTTTGACGATCTTTAAGTTTTTGATCTTGCATTGTAATAATAACATTAAAATGTTACTTCATCTTTTTATCTCTTTAACTCTCTTTTGGCTGACTTTAACTTTTTTGTGTCTTTTTGATTACGAATGAACACTAAAAGGTCACTATAGGTCAAACGGTATGAAAACAGGGCTAAAGAATACATTGATATAAAGAAAAATCAAAAAGAACAAAAAATAACATTAATTAAGTTTTGTTTTTAAAGAATAAAGGTTTTAATAGCAGTGAATAAGAACAACAAATCATTTATCTTCAAATAATTGAGTTTTCAGACAAAGTTGTCTTTCGAAATTTTTTTATTCATTAAATAGTTTTTATACCGCAAGTGGTAGGGAGTGGACTTTTATATTGTGAAATTCGGTACTTATATAGTAGTATAATAATCTATGTACTTATAATTAAATTAAAAACCATTTCAAAAGACCACAGACAGTATAAAATTCAACTTATTAAAAATAAAAATTTTGTAGCATAAGGTGCTTATGTTCAAACTCTGCTATTTCAAAAATAGTTTTAATCATTATACTTGATTGTAAAATAATTTTACAACTAATGATTAGTACCTAGACAATATGTGTTTTCATTGTAATAAATGGATGTTGCATTCGGCGACGTTATTGGTATTGTCTTCAAAATGGATTAAATTGCGTTTAGTGATTTTTCCAAACATAGAAAGATAATAATGATAAGTCCATTCAATCAAAAACAATCTGCATTTACCGGATGGCTATTAGGTACTGATGCTAGACATCGTAGAGCGTAGAAGGTTTGACACTTATGACACTAAATCACCGATGGTTGATATTGTAGAACATAACCAAAGTTTTTAAACTATTGTGCAATAAAGTTGTGCTGTTCAACAGGTTAGAATGCTAGCATCATTTTTCCACAGTGAATTTGTATGTTTAGACTAAAATCAGAATATTCTAACTTTCTGTGAACTATACTCTTAATAGGGAAGCGTTCTCCATTGGTTAATACAGGTTAACAAGGGTCCACTATTTAAGGATCACAGGGTACAGCGGATTTAAGGGAAACGAGAA